AGTAGACCTGCCTGTTCTGCTCCCCCACTCACTTTGGTGACTCCTCTCACCCCCTGCACCTCTGGTCTGTACTCCAGTTCTGTATGCATAAATAAATAAATCTTAAAAAAAAAGAGAGAGAGATTAGAAGGATAAGAGTGAATGAGAAGATCTGTGGAGGGGTCAGACAATAAGGTGGGGAGGGCAGATTATGGGAGCCAGAGCAGCTGGCATGAATGGAGACTCCAGGCCACAACTCCAGGAGCTGAATTTGCTGTAAAATCTGAATATGGTGAGCAGTGAATTTTTCCTTAATTGTATTTCTAGATAAGGACACTGCAGGGCAATATCTTGATTTCAGCAGAGTGCTTCACTAAAAAGCATCAGGAACCTTATTCATGAAAACAATAAGATAACAAATGTATGTGGTTTTAAGCCACTAAATTTTAAATAAGTTATTACATGACAATAGAAAATCAATATAGTTTTGAATCAAAGATAAATGTTGGTTTACTCTTTTGATTTAACTATTCCACTCTTAGATACATATGCATTCACCAAATATATGGACTACAATATCACAAGAAGCAATATTTATCATAACCTTAAAGCCAAAGCTATCTAGTGAGCAAGAAGGGGACTTTTGAGATAATAATGTTTTAATTTTGATGTAGAAGCTGGTCACACATTTGTGCTCAGTTTTAAAAAAAGCATTTAGCTGTTTCCTTTCTTAAATCATGTTGTACTTCAATAAAACTAAAATGACTAGATATGTATTTTTTCAATTTACAATAGCACATTTATTACTGGATTCAGATTTTTAAGACTTTAATATACAAATGGCCATATGACTTTACTGTGTGGTTTTTTTAATTCAATTCTACATGAATAAAATCAAAATATACCATAACAAAATAGAAACATCCAATCATCAGTTGTTTGGATTTTTACCTTAACATTATGCTTGATTTTTGTGTAACCCTCAGCACAATGCTTCAATAAAATTTGTTTTCTTCTTTAAGGGAATTCAAATTAGTAGTGTATTGAGAATTTTAAGGCAATCTTTAGAAAAATACCTTTGTTATTATGTAAACTCCCTCATATTCCTATATATAATCACTTCATTGATAATCATGCATCTTTAATGTGGTCATGTAAAATAGAAGACCTTAGTCTCAGCATACCTTTCTGAAGGTAAATTTATAGGTGTTTTTATTCCATTCTAAGAGAGGAAATATAAGTTTTTGCCCATGGTCTCAAAAGAGGCAAATAGTAAGCACAGTATATAGATCTGTCAGGTCACTTTGTAAGTGCTGTATGGCAACTATACCTCAATAAAACTGGAAAAAAAGAAACTAGGGAAAAACCAGCAAATAGTTATTGTATACCTCATATACAGATTACCATACTAAGTATAGGAAGTACAATAAACTATAGTGTATTGTTTTTCTTCTTGGGAAATTTGTAGTCCTCCAAAAGTAATACTTATTCATACACATTAGCTAATGATAAAGGTTCAAGCATAAATCATAAATTAGTGCTAGATGTAGAAAAAAGTAAAAAAAGGAAAGAAAGGAAAAATGCTGCAGTTTTAGAATGGTGCCCCAAGGGCAGAGTTTTGGCAGTCAAGGAAGGCTTCCTCTAGCTAGCATGACATAAAGAAACAATTATTTTTGGTAAAGAAAATTGCTTCTAAATATGAGTTTTTCATTTAGATAAGTGCAGCTATTTTGCCTCTTGGAAGTTTTAAGTTTCTTTTCTGAGAACTAGGGTTGATGCCAATATTTTCTACCTCACAGTTTTGTGAAATTAAAATGAGATAATTTAGAAAAACAATTGGTTTCTCTAGTCTGAAAAACTGGCCTTTCTTTTGAGTGATTAATTGTGGGACTCTTTGGTATCTGACACTGAACATCAGTGAGGTTAGAGCAGCAGGGAATGGGAGGCATTCTAAATACTAGAGTGTGAGAGGAAAAGGAAACTCTAGGAGTTTAAAATGAAAATAAAAACAAAAAAAAACCCTTAAAACATATTGGCAAAAGTACAGTATAGCAGGATGAAAACAAAACAGGATGGTGTTTGGGAAACCTAGAATAATAAGTAAAGGACATTTCCCTAAAAAGTTGGCAAGTCCAGTAACACACTGACAATGTGAGAATATATATATATATATATATATATATATATATATATATATATATATATATATACACACACACACATACACACACACACAGATATATAGATGACATCATCCCTGAACATTTACCTTTTAAATGGAAGACAATAATTGCACCCATCTTTACTTCCACATATGAAATACCTTGAGGAAAGTGATGAAACATACCAGCCTATAACATGTAGGGGAAAATAATTCATTGTGGTCCATAACATGAGGCGAGGTTTAGTCTTGAAGGATAGAGGGACATGGATCCCAGGGAGGTAAATACGGCTTATTTTAGATGGTTGTAGCATTACACAAAGGTCCATCAAACAGAGGTATCTTGCCATTGACTGAATTTTACTTAAATATATAACCTCTTTTGGTTAAAAGATACTACCTCTGAGAGGCAAAGGAAGGCAGGAAGAGAGACAGCAAGGTATAAATCATTTCTTCTAGACAGGAATTGCAGGTTTGAGGTTCTGATGCAAAACCAGCATGCTCCTCTCCAAACAAAGGGGAGTGGGGGTGGAGAAAAAAGACTTAGGTATCTGATTTCACCCCAAAGTATGAGATATTAAGATAAGTATATGGAGATAAATCAGATTCACATATGAAATGACTGTCTCAACATCTTGCTGAAATTTCATCATCAAAAGTGAAAATTTCTCATTAAACTGCATACCTCTTTACAGAAGCATAATGAACAAACAAGCAAAAGCCCCCCCCCCCCAAGAAATATTAGGTTAAAATGAGTTTCAGCTACACTTAAAGTTTATAAAATCATCTCCTAAGGGCATGTTTCAAAAGGGGAAGCAAAACTGAGATAGTAATGCCTGTCTACTCTATGACAAAGTGCACGGTCTGGGGAGAAAATAGCAGGTATCTCTGCACCAGTTTTGGACTTTTTACACTCCAGAACCAAGGAACTTAATGCCACATCCCTTTTCAGCACAACCCCCCAATCCAATATACCCTGTCCAAACAGTTGGAATCAGCAGCAGATGCCTAGCTTGGTTTAGTATGTATCAGTGGGTATAGTTTTAGTTCACCTCTGAAAGATTTGGATGTAAATCCTTAGTATTTTTTTTTATCTTGAGTCCTTATCATAATCAAGTTCCTTATCTGTAACATAATAATAGTAGTAGCCTCCTCAAAAGTTGTTGAGAAGATTAAATAAGATTGTATATGAGGACCCCAGCAGTTTTTAAGGGCACACTAATAATTATCACTAATACAATTTCTGGCTGGTGGATTTTGCCAAGTTTAGGGGCTGGGTGGGAAGGAAGAAGGGTCTGCTTATTTACTAAATTCACGGTGCTCTTGAAAAATCCCTTGGGCTCCGGGCTAGAAACACAGCGGGCAGCTACCTCATCTGAGGTCTTCTCTCCTCTGCTCCACCCATTCTTCCCGGGAGCAACAAGTTCCCTTCTTTAAGACCCGCCCGCGAACCCCTGGCAGACCTAGCGCCTCCTCCCAGACCGTGGTCAAACTCTTTGTCAGATCCACCTGGGTTCGAAATTCCTGGCTGCTGCCCACACGTTATGGAGGCGGGAGAACCAGCCGCATAGGAAGGAGCCCTGGCGGCTACAGAGAGGGAGGCGGGAGGCGGGAGGCGGGACGCGTGGGAAGTCGCGACAGAAGGTACTGCTAGGAGTCCGGGTTTGCGCTGCCCTTGAAAGGCAAAAGCATCAACTCAATACACTCCTCGTTCATTTCAAATCTCTCTCCTCCCGGGTTAAGGAGGGAGGGGGTGTGGCCCGGAAATCCGGACCTCCGCCAGACCCTCAGGTTGTCAAATTGCATCCCTAAATCTTGCAGGTTTTCCTCCACGCAGGCGTCTCTTTGCACCCACTTTGCACCCTTGGCAAGTTCCCTAAGGACACTTGAGATTTCTGGCAGGCTATTTCTCAAGAAGAACAAGTAGGTCAGTTCCGGCCCCCACCCAGCGTTCTCCTTTCCCATGCCCTCACAGACTAGATACCCTGGAGCCCGCAAAGGGGTCCCGAGGCATCTTAGGAGTCCCGAGACATCTGTGAGCTTCACCCAGCTTCCCAAATTGTTGAACTCTGGCAACTTCTCGGAACGGGGATCCCCTCGTCCTCCTGGGAAAGCCAAACTACCCGCCCACATACCAGGAGAGACATCCCTACGTCTCCGTAGGGAACTCCCCTCAAAATCGACCTCTCCACCTTCTCTAGTTGTGAGTTAAGAACTGGAGAACTAATTAGGAGTAAGTTTGGGTGGTAGGCGGTTGTGGGCAAGGGCGAGGGCGAGAAGTTCCCTCTGGATTTTGGAAAGAGAAATCAGTTCGTGTTTTTGTCTTCTGGAACCAGGGAACTGTTGTTCCTGGAAAAGAGGAGGACCAAAGTCACCGGAGGAAAGTCCTCCCGGCGCAGGGTCCCAAAAGCAGGAAGGTGAATTGCAATATCCAAGCTTCTGGTCCTGTCCATCAGAAACTACTCTTTCTCTGGGAGATGGGGGCGCAGAATACATCCCTGAAAAGACAACCAGCGCCAAGCCTACATGTTCAGCGCTTCATCCCTCCAACCCCAGACTGCCTTGAGAACTTGGTACCTCGGACAGCAACCTGGGCGCAAGGAACTGTTTGAAAGGTGTTACCTTATTTTCACCACCAAGTCAAAGAGCAATAAATTATTTTTATGACCTTACTGGTACAATTTGAAGGACATTTTAATTACATAACCCATGAAAGATCACCGGAGGCAATGTCGTGTTAAAGAGCTGATGGCTGAATATCTGCATCGCATTAGAAAGAGAAAACTTGCAAATCTGCAATGAGATTGCGCAGGGCTGCCCCCGTTTTGAAACAACATGAGAAATGCAAAGGAGACCTTACCTTTCGGACTCCAAATCCATGTTCTGCTGCAACTTGGCGAGCTTCTTCCTCTCCTCCTTTATGCAACTCCACAAGAAAATGATTCGTGAAGACCGCTCTCTCGGCAGATGCAAAAACCATGACACAGAAAAGAAGCCAGGCGCTTGCCTTACAGTGGGAGACACAGACACCTTTCATCTTTCTTTGGGAGTGAAAAGTGGCGCTAGGACACGCGCAGGCTGGCGGAGTAGGGTAACAGGAGGGAAGGTCCAAATTAAAAAAAATATATGTATGTAGTTTTTTGTTTGTTGAAAAAAATTGTAGAGAAAGAGACTTATTAGAAGCTTTGATAGCAGCAAATCAATGTGTTCTTCTCTAGCATCTGGCTGGCGGAGAAGCCGTATAGTCAGGCGGCTCTTTGGAAAGGGTGCGAATGTGGGGAGCGGTGTGTATCTGAGAGAAAGAGTGAGTGTATGTCTGTGCTTGAAGCTAAATCTGCATTTTCAGCTCCTCCTCAGCTCCAATTCCACGGGGGCCGGAGGAGAGCTCCAGCCTGGATGACGTGCGTCTGTCAGTGACCAATGAAGACCAAAGAAGCGGCGGGCTCCGCCCTGGGCCGCCCCAGGCCCGCCCCTGCCCGCCCCCGGCTGGTCCGGTCCGCCTCCGCCCGCGGGGGGCGCCTCACGGCGGGCGCCTCACGGCGAACCCGCACCCTCTTTCGTTTCAGTACCCTGGAGAGCGCCTCCATCTCCCCACCCTGGACGCTGCGCTCCCAGGAAAATCCCCCCAGCTGTAATCTGGTCGGGAGAGAGGGAGTGATGTCATTGTTTGTGGAAATCTGTAAGGCTCTGGAAAGGGAATTACGATGTGTGCCTCTCTCTGTGGCCCCAAGGGAGCCAGGGCACCGGCCTCTCCCTATTCCTCTTCCCTGCTTATTTTTCTCTGCAAAAACAACTCTCTCTCTCTCTCTCTCTCTCTCTCTCTCTCTCTC